AAAAATACTGGCAATGTAATGAATTGACACACCAAGCTTTTTTCCTTCTCACTGCTCTACAATCTCTTTGCTTCTTTATTCTGGATTTACCCCTCTCGTTCTGTTATTTTCCTCTGATCTTTAATAACAGATAGTACATTATCAGATGGATGTACTTTGGTTAACAGACTAACATTGATTTCCTCAATTTATAAATTGACAGGCTCTGTAATTATACCATAACCTTTTCTCCTCTATCCCTTAACTCGTCTTCCTATACAGATTTACTTACCTCTAGTCAGGTCAGGATTAAAGAACAATTAATCTGGTTGATTTTTATTTCCAGGATTGAATGTTCAAACCAAGGCCTGAAACCTGGCATAAGGCATTCATAAGAAAGTGACTAATACATAAACCAAATGTAATATTGGATCAAATACTACACCAAATGGACAGACACAGATTAAAAATACAAATATAGTCCCCTGGTTTGTCTCTAGAGTCTAACTGCTATGAGTAAAATTAAAATCCAAAATCCGTCACTAGATGTCGCTCATTGTACCAATACGGTTGATATAATACATAACATATTATTATTCTAATAAAAGGGCTCGCTTTGGCAAAAACCTGATCCATACAGGCAGCCCTGAATAATAACAAGTAACCATCATGTGTGGTGCTATCTGTAGTTGTCTGTCTTATTTTTTGTTGATGTCATTGTTTTCACCAGGGCCGGCCCTTGGCATAGGCAGTATAGGCGAATGCTAAGGGTGCATCAACCCATCGGGGGCACCGAAAATTGGGGAGAAAAATTACATCATGTATTTTTTAGCTGCCCGGATTATAACAGACAAAGACTAATTCTGACAACTGCACTGGAACAACAGAACATCAAGGACAATGGATTTCAAGTCAATATACGAAAGTAAATCAAGAAATTAAGTAAACAAGCTGATCTTCAAGTTCCTCAAAAACACTGGTCTGAGGACAAGGATTTAATATAAACATTTAATAAATCAACAGTAGGTGGCGATATATGCTCCAAGTGGAAGCGATTCGCCATTAAAGAAAAAAGAAGAAGACAAAGTAGTAGAAGAAGAAATACGCTAACGCTACAAACAGGCACAACACTGTTACTCTGTTTTTACTGATATATAACATTTGATTTCACCTTGCACCGAAAACGGGGATTCTACCCGGAAAACAGGGACGTTTTGGTCACCCATCCGACTGTGTTTACAGCTAAGCACACACGCTAAGACTACAAGCTCAGTTGGGGTTGAGGCTTTTTTACACGTTGCTTGACTGCCTGCCCACATATCTGATCTAAACATAGTAACGTTTATTGGGGAAAATAATTATTTAAACTTATTTAATAATTGTGACATTTATTGTACTCTTGGATGGATGAATGATGCTCAAAGTGAGGGGGCAAATAATACAACTGAGGGGGCAATGCCCCCTTTTGCCCCCTCGTGGCACCGGGTCCGTACTGTACACTTCTGAATAATGTAGTTAATCTACTATAATTAGTTTGTTTAATATAGAGTCGTTATCAATTTGTTTTAAAACTCAATAAATAACAAAGAAGACCTTTGACCGGCACTTTTCTCATTTTGTCCGGAAGATTTAAACTTTAACGGACATGTTGACCAGTGAAAATAAATTCTAACGGAAACTCTGATCTGTCCACACCATATTCTCCTCTTCCTGTCCAATCAGATCTCAGAGTTGGAGAGTGAGAAGCAGCACCTCTCTGATGCCGTGGCGTCCCTTCAGGAGCGCGCTCAGTCCAACAGCGAGGCCAGGGTCCGCGAGGTGGAAACCCAGAACCGCCTCCTGCACCAGAACATCACTGACACCAGCTCCCGATTGGCCAGCTTAGAGACCCAACTCAAACTGGCCAATGAGGAGGCAGAGAGGCTGGGGAGCAGGGCGGGGCGATGTGAGGAGCTGGAGCGAGAGACGGCCAGGCTGGAGAGGGGCAGGGACACTTTGAGCAGAGAGGTAATCTGTCTATGTGTCTTTATTAGGATACCATTAGCATTAGCATTGGCTACTCTTCCTCCACAAAAACACAAAACATAAGCAAACAAAACCACTCATCTAATGTAGTTAACAGTCAAGAATGGTTGTGAAAAAGTTCAAATAAATAGTAAATCATGACAAACATAACAACATTTCACCAAAATCAGACAAAAGCATATTTTTCCAAACCTTGTAGGGTGTTAGAACCAGCAGGAGACTGTCAATGTGTGAATGACTTTGGTAACACTTTACTGTATGACAGGGGATTTCTGAATATTTCCCATATACAAAATTCACAACAACATTGAGCAAATGCATTTAGTTTCAAACATTATTGATGTAAATGAACCAGTAGTAGTGCAATAAAGGGATTGTATAGCAGTACGTTGTATGACAGGGGAGTTATTTAAATAAAAACATAAACCTTTTTTTTATAATAGGTAAATACTCAAAATAGATAATAGTAATAATGGTAATATTATATTTTTACATATATATATTTTTCTATTTTGAAGGTTTTAAAGTTATTGTATATAGGCATTGAGTAATAGTAATAGAGTCCAGGAGTGAGTCCTAAGCCTGTGAATGAGTTTTTAGTTTTGTTGTCATGCATAACTTATTCTTAAAAGCATACTGACTTGATTAAATTCTATCTCAGACTATATCTTCTCTGTCTTGCTTGTAGCTGGCCTCTCTGCGTGTTTGCAGCGAGCAGTCGGAGGCTCTGGAGAAGCAGGTGTCCTCCCTGGAGCAGGAGGTGCACCGGCTGAAGCGGGAGCTGGAGGAGGCCCAGGGGGAGCAGCAGCGGCTTGGGAGGCAGGAGCCGGAGCACAGCCTGCTGTCCAAGGAGAACCTGGACCTGCGCTGCTCCATGGAGAACCTGCGCTCCTCATCCACCCGTCTGGCCTCCCTTCAGGACGAGCACAAGGAGGTGCAGAGACAGACTCAGGATCTGCAGAGGAAGCTGGAGGAGGCCAGAGGGGAGGCGCAGGGAGAGAAGAAGAGGGCAGAGAGGCTGGAGCAGAATATGGCCGCTCTGAACCAGGAGAAGCATCGCTTAGAGGAGGAAATACAGAGAAGCAAAGAGGACAGGGAAGAGGAAGAGAGGGAGAGGCAGGAGACGCATGTCAGAGAAGAGGAACTGAGAAGGGAAGTACAAGAACTGAAGAGCGAGCGGAAACGGAGGGAGGAAGTGGAAGAGGAGAGGAGGAAGCTCCAAGGGGCCTTGGAGCAGGCAGAGAAGGGCAGGAAGAACCTGGAGAAGGAGAGCTGGAGGAGCAGGACACTTCTGGAGGGAAAAGAGACGGAGCTGGAGGAGAAGGCCAGGAGGTTAGCCACAGTGGAGAAGGAGGGAGCAACTCTGAAGAAGGAAATGGAGAGGCTGAGGGAGGTGTCGGTCAAAGCCAAGGAGCTGGAGAAGGAGAACAAAGAGCTGCAGAAACAGGCGACTATCCACAAGAGGACTCTGGCCACGCTGAGAGAGGTGAGAGGTCACACAACACCTTATTGCATGTCTAATAAAGAGGTGAACAGAAGTAAAGAGACTTTCAAGACGTTCTTTTCCTCACAGCTGTTACCAGTGTGTAAGCGAAGGTTCTGGAGAAAGCAGGACTTTGGATAGAAATCCCTTAAACTTAAAGTGATCAGAAAAAAGGACATTTTCAACTCTTTCAACTGGGCAGATTCCCTCTGCTGAGAAAGCTATTGATATGTGGGTGTGCTTAATGGGAAGCTCTAAAAAGGAGACTGCCAATGTTCTTAGAAACATAGTATTCTATTTCTGCATGATTTTAAAGACAATATTTGTATCATTTTTGTTGGGACTCTGGCTTATCACCAAGGATGATCATTTAACAGATGAATATGATGAGATATGATACCTTGTAGCCTTAACGTGAGCTAAGTAGCTAGCTAAACGTGTTAATGAAAGCTGCCTTCCACACAGTCCCTGTGCTTGGTGCTCTCTGAGAGTGAGCGGCTCTGAATAACCCAACCCAACACTAGATTCTAAATGTACGAACGGCTAAGTTTGTGCCCAAGTCGAGTGACTATTTTCAAATGCACCCCATATAAAACCCCAGAATAGGTAAAGAACTTGACTTTGCGGTGATGCCATTTTATCAGCCACTGGTTCCAAGGGTATAATACTGATGATAAATATGAGTCCTAATGTACTCTGTATGAAAGTGTTGATGTTCATGAGGTTTCATAGTGGTGTCATCATGTGTTGCTATGTCTCCAGGATTTGGTGTCAGAGAAGCTGAGTGTTCAGCAGCAGAGTGTTGACCTGGAGAGACTCAATGAAGAACTGGAGAAGATGGGACTGAACAAAGAGAAACTGCTGCAGCAAGAGCACACACTGGAGGACAGGTAGGGTCTCATACGCTGGTCCCATTCTAGGACTACTCATCACAAGTCAATGACTTACATTTCTTCTGTGCACATGTCAGCAGGTACAGGCTACTGGAGTCTCGGCTTGAGGAAACTGTCCAGCAGACAATGAAGATTAAAGAGGAGAAGATCTTTTCTCTAGAAAGGAAACTGGAAGAGAGCGAAAAGCTCAAAACTAAGCTACGAGCTGACCTATCCACTGTAAGACACTCACACTCACATTGTAACCAAAGGTTTTTACACATTATGAGTTGTTGTTATGTAGACTGTTTTACAATATGTGGGTTTTTTCCAGGGGGAAGAAAACCACAACTCCCATCATCATTCGGAAAGTGACCGGGGTCAAGGGTCAGCCACGGCAGAACTGCTAAAAATCAAAGATCATATTATCGATATAGAAAAGAATGTAAGATGTTCTTTATTAAATACAGTTATTTCATATAAACGTTGTGCAACATTAACCAGGCATATGTGTGACATTATCTATTGATCACCATACTTTGAAAATGTATGGTGTACCCCCCCTTCGAATCAAGGTTGAAATATCAGCTTCAGCTAAATCTTTACTAAATCTGACACATCGAATGTTTCATTATCTCCATGATTGAAATACTGAAAACCTTGTCTAAAAAAGATGAAAATGATGAAATAAGTAGTTCTAGTATATTGGGTGATTAATGAAAAGGCCTTACGTCTGCCCAGTTAATGTTCCGCCACAGTGAGTAAGTACTATTTAGTTTGTTGGCTCTAAATCTCAGTACTGATGAGTTAGATTTGCTTCGATGGCTAAGCTAACATTACCCATCTAATACGAGTAATGAGGTTTTTATTTTAAATAGGCTAGGTATCACATATATTTATTTTTACACCTAATTTAGTTTTTTTGTGTTATTCATATTTTATGTAGCTTATTTAATGTTATTTTAAATGTCTATTTCCCTCTAATTGATTGCTTTATAATTCACCCTTTTTACGCAAATAATTGTATTTGTTTAATGACAGAATATGGTGAACTACTCAATGTGCCTATTATCTATCATCTGGATGTGAGAATGTTCATTGTTCCCTCCAGAACTCCTCCCTGCTGACGGAGAGCAGCCTGCTGAAGGGGCAGCTCAAACAGCTGGAGAACCAGAACACGTCTCTGAACAACCAGATGATGGGGCTGCAGCGACACACCTCCACCCTGCAGGAGCAGAACTCAGCACTACACAAAGAGACAGCAAAACTACAGGTACACACAATGAAATCCTCTCACCTCATCATTTCTATTACATTTCTCAGGGACATATATAGAAAGGATCATGTGCAGTGAGGTGTTCATTATCGCCCGACGCGAAGCTGAACCGTGACAACAGCAGTGTAACTTCAAATGATGTCAGCACTGATGGAGATTTTCTGTGACTGTCCAAGTCTGTTCATGTCCATGAACCAGTCTTTAAACACTGCCAGAGCCCATACCGTGTTCCTGTCAGTATTTACTTCCTGTCTGTCTTCTTCTGGTGATTTATCTGCCGTCCACTGCTGGTCCGTTTAACCTCTTTCCAGCTCTCCCTTGATCTTCCTTAGCAACGGTCATTATTTTCGTTTAGCAGCGGTGTGTTCAAAAGTATTAATAACCTCTGGAATATCCAAATGAACCAATCAGAATGTAATATTCAACTTAGCTGTGAAATACATTCTTAACAACTACTGAGTTCTAATGAATGCCACTTGCTCTTAGGTGGAAAACTCCACAATCTCTTCCCAGAGTGCATCCCTCATGGCCCAGAATGCCGTGCTGCAGGGCCAGGTCACGGCCTTGGAGTCGGAAGTGGAGTCGTGGCAGAGGCAGCGGGAGGAGGCGTGGCGAGGCAGAGAGAGCGTGCTCAGCGATCACGAGCGCCTGCTGAATGTTCACGAGAGGCAGGCTCAGGAGTACGAGCAGCTGATCAGTCAGCACACCGCTCTGAAGGGCAAACAGAGGGCGCTAGAGAGCGAGCAGCGCACACTGCACAGCAAGTGAGTGAAGGACCAAAGAGTATCTATAACAAAAGATGACGCACTACAAGCTATAGTATATGGTACACACTTAGTTAAGTGGAAAGGTATATTAAGCAAACATTAGATATCTTCTATGTTAACTGACATTTGAGGCATTACAAAAAAATCTGTTGGCAAGGACATTTGCAAACGTTAGTTGAAGATGACTTAGAATTTAGAATTGAAATTTGGATATTACTTTGGTGACTATTAGGCAAAATGATTTGTCATAATCTATGTTGACTGTTGGAGGAGCCTGTGACCTGAGATGTTTTTATATTGCTTCAGTTTATAATCGTAATAGATCGAAAAGTTCAGATTCATTTAAAAAAAAAAAATGATGCACTTCCACGAACATCTTTATGTCATTCAAACAAACTACTTGTAGTAGATAAAGTACATTATTCAATGGTGTTTACATTAACTTTGAATAATAACACGGGAGAAACGGATCCTCTCTTTTCCCCTCTCCCTCCCTCTCTCTCCTGACAGCCCGTTAGTTTCTCATGCAGCGCGCTAAACAGTGGGCGGGGCTTCAGGTGATTATGGAGCAGCTGATCTGATCTCTCTCTCGCGTCCGGTTACACTTCACTCGCGTTTATGTCCATATCGATCAGATCCAGCTCTCCTGATCGGCCTTTATAGAGAGCACCGATCAAACTATTTAGAGTGAATATCGGCCGATAATGACCGGCGGCAGATCGATCGGAGCATCCATAGTTATTACCGGACAGTTTTTGACCGGCAGGTTTTGAATTTACCGTTTTTTAATAAATTTTACCAGCTAAAAACCGGTAATTACCGGCTAAAGGAAATCCTGCACTGCACGCATGACAATAAAAGCCTTGAACCTTGATATAGTGGTGCATAAAGTAATTTCATAATCTTCTGTGGAAGCTTATACCAATGAAGTCACAGTGACATGGCTTTTAGAGCATATTCAGTTTCCGAAATGTGTCATACATAAGTCAAAACCTTGAAATGAGATTGTAAAACAGGTTTTTGTTGATATTGCAAGATAAATGTAGCTTTTCAAAGATATGAAGCTGTATGATTTTACATTCACCACATTGATAGATCAGGACAGGAATGATGAACAAAGTCAATGTCATCAAAGTGTTTGCCAGCTGAAATCTAACAACACACCTCCTGCTATGATGTGAGTGAGGTTTATTCTATTGGGTGGGGGACCTAGTCAAATCACATACCATTGCATACATTTATTCAAGTTTGTTGAAGATGAGTCATCAACCATATTTTTACATGTGAAGTAAAGAGAGATTTGGAGAACTAGAAGTACAAATATACAACAAAATATATATGTATGTATTTTGTTAAACACTGGGATAAGAGCTTGGAAACTATATTAGTTATTTTCATCTTGTGTTTTTGATGCAGATGCTTTGCCACACATGAAAGGATGTTTATCAAATTGTAAGGTAGTATTACGTACTTAACCAATATGTACCAATGTTTATTAGTACTTCTAAACAACATCAAAATAATCAGGTGTTTCGTGGATATACATCTTTATTTAGACCTGTCTTGTAGATATACTGTAGTTCTAAATTCTAGAGTGTAAAAGAAAGAGGAAAGAAAAAGTCATGTCTTCACTTCCCGGTCACTGATATTACATTCAAATGTAATATAAATCAGCGTAAAGAATAAACCAAGTCAAATGACAACATGGACAATCCATATGACAAAACTGATCATGTGGATATACTGTGGATGAAAAAGAGGTATCCTGGACAACAAACATCCTCACACTGCCTTCCTGCCAAACAACACATTCTCATCTGATACTCTCATCCCATGAAACATAATAGTGGCGCATCCCTGCTTAACAACCTTAATAACCTATCAGCTCCACAGGTGAACAAAAGAAAGGGCCACACATGGCACACGCTAGATGGTACCAAGTGCTAATGCAAACACCAGGCTTTCTCCTTTTGGGATCATAGACAGTATGATGAATAATAACCCTCTGCAGGTATTGTATTTTGGTGCAGCAGAAGGAGAAATGGGACGAGCAGGAGGGGCACGGCCGAAAAGAGAAGGAGGAACTCAACCAGGAACTCCAGAAGACTCGGCTACTACAGCAGGAGAATCTACAGCTCAAATCAGAAGTGGACAGGTACTGGAAGGTTACACACAGTCACATCATCAGACATTGACAACAACAAGTGTAATGTTGTGGATAATTTTGCTGTGATAATGGTCCACAATGAGACAAACATGTTTGAGACTGCACCAAAAGCATCCTTCATCTACATTTCACTTTCACACAATAACTCTATGATGACGCTATTCACTGGAACAGATAGCAACAACATCTGTTCATTTATGTTCGGTTCAAAACGAGCTGTAAAACAGATTCAAAACGCATATATCAGAGCCTAAGGCAAATATCAAAGGTATGGTAAAACAATCCCATTTGTAAATCAGCTTGAAGTTTATCCTAAGTGATCAGGTTTTTTGAAACAGGTTCAGTGACAGTTGAGCCATAGGCTGGTTACAGTGAGCGGTAGAACCCGGCAGCACACTTTGAGGTTATCTCTTGATTTCTCTCAAAGTGGAATTCTCTCTGCCTTCCCCTTTTAGACTAGCAGAGAGCCAATCCCAGCAGTCCGGGCAGTGTGAGGGGCTGCAGCACCGAGTGAGCGATATGAAGGGCTTACTAAGCTCCTCCCAGCAGGAAGTGAGTCGATGGATGGCACAACACGACTCCCTGATGGAGCAACACCAGGGCCTGGATCTCACCATGACCAAACTGGACAACCACTGTGAGGTAAACTCTGCCTTCTCTTCTGCCATCAAGCCATCTGGAACATGAAATGATCAATATGTTTTGGAGCACAGCAGTGTTGTGACTGAAACTATGAATCTTTTCTTTTAGAGAACAAGGCTGGATTAGAGATGCTCTGGTTGCTTTGATTAGATACATTTGAATGTTTCAAACATTCCAAGTTTTGATCATATTTACGTAAATGGCTACCACCAATGTGTGGCCTCCTAGGCTTTTTCTTTTTGTGTATGCCCTTGTCTTGAGCAAACAAGCTTAAACTATTACTGGCTTACATTGGGTTTTTTCTATCGTTTTTTGCGATTGTATTAGCGCTGAAGTAGACTGCGTCTCTCCAGATCAGCATCTCATGTTACTGTCCTGACATGACTGTATGTGTCTCTGTGCATGTCTGTGTTTAGCTGTTGAGTCGACTGAAAGGGAACCTGGAAGAGGAGAACCACCATCTGCTGAGTCAGATCAACCTGCTGAGTCAGCAGAACCACACTCTCCTGGAGCGGAGCATGGAGAGCAAAGAGCTGTATCACCAGGAACAGAAACTATACATGTAACTGCACACAGCACACCTTACACCCCGTACTTATGTAGTACACTACCAGTGACACAAGTATTCACATGTGGTGCTTAGGTGACTTTTCAAATGTAAAACGTTCAAGTATTTCTTTCTTTTTCCCTTGCCAAACTGAAGTATTATTTAGCGCTTAACATGCTCACATTCAATTGTTTGTGTCATTAGATTTCTTAGCTATTTGCATCCAGCGCCCCCCTCTGCTCCAGAGTGTGAATCTTTGTCTCTCCCATGCTCAGTAATCTGCCATCCAATGAAATGTACTTCCTGTTTTGAGTAACATAATCTGATAAGAAGACAAAATCACAATGTATGAATGTTTCTTTTCTTCATGCAGAGATAAGCTGAACGCTCTACGTCGTCAGAAAGAAAAACTGGAGGAGAAGATCATGGACCAGTACAAGTTCTACGACCCCACGCCTAAAAAGTAATGCTTTTATCAGTCCTATCATTTTGAAAGATAACATGGAAAAGCCAGTGGTGTACAGTATTTACCTATTAGGTAAATACTGTACACTTGAGTGTACAGTTGAGTGTACAGTACTCAAATACTGTACACTTTGAAATGACCTATATCACTCTTGCTCAACTACATCTCAGGTGCAAATATTGTACTTTTTACTCAACCACATTTTTTTGGCTGCTTAAGTTACTTTGAGCATTCAGATGAATCAAATATATAATCAACACAATAAAACAAGTATGTATTATATGTTAGGATCAACTTTATTGTACACCTTAATGAAATGAACAAATGACACAGTAGTTTATATAGTAAATATGTAAGCTCCTGCATTACCAGCTTCAACTTGAATGCATTAATGTTTAAAATACAATAATAACATATATATTAGGCTGAAATAAGCCATTGAGTGCTATACCCTTGTACTTGACGCTTTCAAAAGGGCCCTCAAGAGCCATCTGTTCACTAAGGCCTTTGGCCCCTAATCTATTTGTTGTTTTGTCTGTCTGACTGGTTGTCTGACTGCCTTTTGTTATGTTTTTATTATTATTATTATTATTATTATTACTTAAAGTATATTTTCATTCTTATACTTTTTTTTTCTTTAAATGTAAGTAACATTTTGAAGGCTGGACTTATACTGACCAGGGGCCTCGTTTATAAAGCCTTCACGTGGGAAGGTTGCTTACGTAGGACAAAGCAAATAAATACGCACAGACATTTTCCGATTCATAAAACACTCCGTAACGGCGTAGGACTTGTGTGCGGCACGTCCTACGCCGGTTTCCCTTTTTAAATCACAATCAACTCGAAATACGGCACAGCTTTGCGGGCTTCACGTAACGCCCATATTTGCCTATAAATAGTCAACGAAACGCCCCGTATTAATATTCATTTTGACTGACTGCATGAAGAAGATCGCAGGAAATGACGACAGAACAGCTAAAAAGCAATACAATTACTAACAAAAGCACTCACATACGAACAAAGCACTCACATACGAACAAAGCACTCCATACGAACAATAAGCACTCAATTACGAACAAAGCACTCACATACGAACAAAGCACTCAAATACGAACAAAGCACTCACATACGAACAAAGCACTCACATACGAACAAAGCACTCACATACTAACAAAGGACTCACATACTAACAAAGGACTCACATACGAACAAAGCACTCACATACGAACAAAGCACTCACATACGAACAAAGCACTCACATACTAACAAAGCACTCACATACTAACAAAGGACTCACATACTAACAAAGGACTGGCTTATCTAAAGCCAGTTGAGTAGCACTTGAAATGTTTTAGTTCTATGAAACCTGATGTACTTATATGATTCTTTTTTCTTCAAGGTTGTATCTTGTTAGTCGAACGTACTTATTGTAAGTCGCTTTGGATAAAAGCGTCAGCTAAATGCAATGTAATGTAAAAAAGACATCTCAGAGCGTGTCAGATTTAGCTTCTTTTCGGAAGGTGGAGACAAATCACATTGTTTGTTTGGTGGTTCTCCAAGTTACGTTTTTGTGTGCACTGAGGATTCTCAAACAGGCGTTGGTTTGATCCTTTTATGATTGGCTTTAATCAATTTTTGCGAATTAATTCTTCATATAGGCTACATGAGAGGTAACATTCTATTTATGGTATTATTTCCACATTTCTCTCCATTCTTCCTTCTGCCAACGGTGTCGCAGTTTCTCGTCTCTCCCGTTTTTGTTCGTACCGCGTACAGATGGGTCAGAGTGTGCATGGAGGACCGCACACTCTGACCCATCTGGCCCCAGAGTCTTTCAACACTGTGGTATTACTACTTGTACTTAAATAAATCATCTGAGTACTCCTTCCCCCTCTGGCTGTAGTGTATAATGATGGCTGTAGTGCAGTGTTGCTTTTCTGCGGTATCAGCGTGGTTAACGTAGTTGTTTTCTTTCAGGAGGAGCCAGTGGTCCGGAGCCAAAGCTTTGGCCAAACTGATCAAACCCCGGAAGGAGAGCAGCAGGGAGCGGGGGGGCGACCGGGACAAGGAGGCAGGCAAAGACCGAGACCGAGAACGAACCAAGAGCGCCCCGGACATCCCACTGCCCTCCCCCCCTCCCCTCCTCCCTCCTCGAAACCCCCCACCACATCACCAGCGCTCAGGAAATTACACGCAGGACAGCGGCCATGCCCACAGTAACCATAACAACCACACCGCCAGTCTGGGACCCCAGAGCCCAGCAATCACACCCATCAGCGCAGGTAAACACACTCTCACAGACACACATACAAAAGGTAATTAAATCTCTTAATACATCATAAATTACCACTAAATGTCTGATAATGGGCCTTTTTTTACTAGGACCCTCACAATTTCCCCGTCAAAGGCACAATTACAAAATGGTGGTGCAGTGAGAACATATTTTTGTAGGCCGACCAGGAAGTCAGCATAACAAGGGCTCCCTCAACAAAAAGCTGAGATTTTCCACTTGATTCTTGAATTTAGCTGAAAAATAAGATCTTCGAAGATGACGTTGGGCTATAAACAAACTATGCGCCATTAGCATGGCTGCGCATCACCTCCGCTAAGGCGGCTAATGTTTAGCTAGATGACGTTTAGTGTTCTCATTTAGTCAACTGTTTTTATGACTCATGAAAGATTCAGACATTCACCAGTGAGGTATTTGATGTCATAGAGAAAAACTGAAAATCTCTTCAGCTTGTGTTAACCACTAACCTTATTGAAAACACTATCTCATTTCCGGGTTCAAGGACTCATGTCTGCACCACTTTATCCTAAATCAATGTCTATGGTTATCTCTCTTCTTTTTTTTTTTTTTATCAGGATAGATGGAAAAAGGGTATAAATGAAACAATTGATCATACAATGCATATTTTTAGCTAACACTTTGGCTCCAAAACTTCAAAGCTGATTGAGCTTGTGTACTTGTGATGAGGTGCACTTCCTCATGAGTTCTCTAGAGGGAGCTGTTGACCAACACATCACTTATTGAATACCTGCCATTGCTATACCCTCTTCTCTGTCTCTAACATGTATAGAGAGGCGAAGTCACGCCCATCTACTTCTGCCTCATGGGACCTTATTTCTGAAAAAAGTATGTATTGAAGTCAATGGAGAGAGAAAGATTATCTTTCGATCCCGTTTGAATTTTGCCATGAATTACACATATGATGTTTTTCAATCTTAAAAAATAATTTCCATGTCGAAAAAGTCACAGTTTGTCTTAAGACTATGAAAAATATGCAACTAGAAAGACTACAAATCCCAGAGTCACGTAAGGGAATTTAGCTAGCTGACATAAACGTTACACATTACACTCGTGTTACTCACCGAAACCTTGTAAAGCCGGTCCCGCATGCTGGAACCAACTAACTCCCCTTGTGTGTATGTACAGCTCTCAACATGGCCAGACTTGTAGTGATTTTCACCTCTTTTAATACTTTTCGCATCATTCTGAAAGAAAGAGGTGAAATGTGCCAACGTGACGGCCATCTTGGTGTTGGTGACGTGTGCAAGACCAGAGATGTAGTTCATTGAGCGCTTCACACAAAACAAAGTGTTACTTCACAGTTTTACGGCACATTTTTATTTTTTTGACTTGCAAAATTATCTTTTAAATTGACAAACATCATATGTGTAATTCGTGGCACAATTCAAACGGGATCGAAAAATAATCTTTCTCTCTCCATTGACTTCAATACATGATTTTTCCGAAATAAGGTCCCATGGAGCTCCCCCAGAAGGGGAGGGACTTCGCCACTCTATTAACCTGCACTGTATCTGTTTCCTCAGTCTCTGCAGTGACACATAGAAAAAGAACATTAACTCCCCCTGAGCCATAAGCTCACATTCTCTCAAACTGTCATGTTTGGAATATGTGCAATGTACAATTACACTTTGTGATTGATGTCATATGTAATCAGTCAATTTGGTTACAGTTACATTACTGTGTATAATGTCTGCCTTACATTTGATTAAGCCCAACAAGCACTAAAAAGGAGCCATTTATTGCAACCTTATTGGAATGTATGTATGAGATGCATAATACACTTACCATGAATGCAGTATAGTGTTGGTCCTTCTTCATTGTCACACCGACATGAAGAGATGGATCATACCGAACAGGGCATGGTGTGGTTTATATGGACTGATGAAAACAATGGGAGTCACGGACAAGGCAGTCAAAGAAATGGTTGGCGGTGCCTTTACTGTCCATATCTCTCTAAACAGTCAATTCTACAACCGGTATTTCTCAACCTTTTGAATACTACTTTTGATAAGGGGTCACAGGTAGACATGTCTTTACCACACACAGTTAAAGGCAGGGAACCACTCATATGAGTGTGTTCTAATGCATGCAGGTTTTCTTTTTCAATGCTTTATCTTAAGTTCTACTCATGGCTGAGCTCAATTCACATTTCAAATGACTTTTTGAATTCATTCCACAATAATTCAGTTCAAATAACAATACATCTTCTAAACAGCAAAATACATACATCTTGTCTGTCTGCATAAATGACCCCCCACATACAGGCTCGGGTTATGCATACCGTTTGTATCGCATCATTAGTCATTTGGTTAGATCAAAGTGAGTTGAGGTCAGCCTTGAGTCTCATGCATGTTTTCATCTAAAAGATCTTCTTGCATGATATTGATTATTTTCTATTCTGTCAATCACATACTAAATCACTTGTAATCAACTGTCTTTCATTTACTCATTATTTCATCATTTTCTTTACATTTCTCTCTCCATTCTCTTCATCTCAGCCACACCCACCCCAAAACGTTTCCGTTTCCTCCGCAGTAAAAGTCAAGAGAAACTCCTCCCCCTCCCCCCTTCCTCCTCCTCCTCCTCCCGTCCCTCCCTCTTGCTCACTAGAAGATTTAGGTTCTGGTCTTCCTCAGCTGACGCCATCACTAGCGAGCCAAACTCAGACAACGGAGTATTCTAACATCCTCTTCATCATCCTTTTAACCATACACATCATCATCATCAGCATCGTCTTCTCTGACACCCTCACATCAGACTGTTCAACAACCCCCATCTCTGTGACTCTCAGTGCTCCAAAGGCACATTTCATACATACACAAAATCCGATAAACACACACAACATACACAAGCAGGTTCATGCTGCAGGTGTGAGCCACCAAGTATTACTAGTAAGTAGTACACGTGTGTGTGTGTGTGTGTGTGTGTGTGTGTGTGTGTGTGTGTGTGTGTGTGTGTGTGTGTGTGTGTGTGTGTAAGCATGCCTGCCTGCAAGGAGCTTTCCATAAGCATTCATGTCTTACTGCTGTCAGAAAGCGCTGCTCTCCCGATACCTGCACACCTGAGTTCATTGTGTGATTAGAAGCAATCTAACATCACTGCAAATGAAACCTATATGATGTTGAAACTGAATCATCTTCATAAAAGAAAGACGTAATACAATAACTCTTTACATCAGATTCATAACTTTTTTATAGTTGAGGACATGTTTTCCTCTCTTTATTTAATTATCATTGTTCACAGTGGATAACAAAAGTATTTTCAAAGCAAAGCTATTTATTAAATTTGAAGATCTAGTTTGAGGGTTTTTTTTACCTCATTAGATATGACAACAGACATTTAAAGCTTAATTCAAAAACCTCAATAGAAGTTTCCAATGTAGAAAAAAAGACTTTTGGTACTGCACTAATATAAATAATATGAGTGTTGTGTGCGATCACCTCACTTCATGCTTTGAATGCTTTTATATTAAGAGCACGTCTCAGTGTGTGTGAGTTGCTCTAAATCTGATGCTTTGCTGCAGCTTTCTCTCTTTCTCTGTTCAGTCAGCAGTCACCATAGTAACCCTACTTTTCACCTAGCACCTCTTTTATAACCTTTTTACAACCTTCAGCTGACGGTGGCTTATGTAAGCTAATGTTAGCTTACATAAAGCATAGTCAAGGACATTATGTTGTCTGTTGGGCTGAATGTTAAAACAATTTCCATTCATGTCTACACCTTCACTTCCAAAACACAGTCATAATGTCTAAATAGAATGAGATGCATTCCCTGAATGACAACTGATATCACAGCGACTTATAAGCTTAAATGAACAAATCATTTTCAATGTGTTGCTTGGCTTTCCTGGTGCTTGCTGTAACACACAACATATGTCCCACCGTCCTACTATGGCACGCAGGTTCTAACATTGTGATCGGTCTGCAGGTTTGACGGACAGGGGCCGGGGGGGTTATCGTAGCAGCCCCCCAGGAGGCAGCAGCGAGAGCGTCAACGGAGAGAACGGACATGGACAAGGTAAGGAATTTTAAATCCAGCAGGAGAGTGAGCTACTTGATTAAGATGGAAGTTAATTCCAGCTTTCAGAGGCTTGAGCAGGCCTGTTTTCAAGCGTAGCTAAGGACACTGGTATATTAACTAAAGGATCCAATAGTAACAACCATGCCATGCTAGCTTGTTGCCAAAGAAGCTTACTGAGCCAAAGTTAGGCATGTACAGTGTTATATACCACCTGCTTGGAAAGAATGTGAACAACTGGAATCACATGGATGCAATGACTTTTCATTTAGTCCAAACACATGTCACCCTGTAACTCAATCACATCTTTCGCAATATTTAGTGTTGACAGTGGCTGATTGCTCTTAAGCAATTTCTTTCTGACGAAAATACAGCCTCCGGGGGCAGGGGGTCAATCTTTCTTGGGCTCCGATAATATCCAGGCAAAGACTTCGGTTGCGTTCGGATAGTTTAAAAATCAGCTCAAGTTCTAACCCTATCTCCTATTCCTTGACCTCTGAGTGAAACGTCACGGGGTTAAGGGATAGTGGATAGGAGAATTCAAAAGGACTTAGGAGAAGAGACTGCGGTACTTTAGAGAATCCGAATGCACTTTCACTATCCAACGTATTTATGATGTGACAGCGGACGTCATTGTGTGCGTCTGCTGCTGTGGGGAAACTATGGAAACTACAGTTTTCTATACAACGGACTACAACATGGATGTTTAATAAGAACGACGGACTCATCTAGAGACTCCGCACCGTGCTCTGATGCTGTTGTTTTATGCTTTATGAACAACAGAGAAATATATTCTTCATGACCAAAGTTGGAATTGAAATAAAAAATGAAAGTGAAACTTATGCTCGTCACCCTCTCCCTCCGGTCCACATTAATACAAATGATCACAATACGTATGATTGTATGAACTATGAAAATATCTTAAAATCAATACAAATGTATTTATTATAAACGTTAGTCTTTAACACCTATCACTGTGTATATGTGACCCGCTCTATCGAAATCAGTCGGAAGTCGCAACGGCTCATTTCAAAATAAACGTGGATTTGCATAAAAAACTATTTTTTCGGGGTTCGGGTGTTTTGTTTGATTTTAAACAAACAAAGTCTTGGCTTTCAGAATATGAAACTTTTATTTCCAAACTCACACGATAAATACATTCTTTAAGCTTGTAAAGGGAAGATGACAGGCAATCTGCTCTTCCGCAGCGCCGCTCCCCCTCCCTCCGGCTGACATTATGAATGTAAGCGTAGAGTAATCATAAATAACACGGCAGGGTCCGTTACAGTTTGTTTTCATCTGATTTCAATTAAAACAAAGTCTTGGCTTTCAGAATATTAAACTTTTATTTCCAAACTCACACGATAAATACATTCTTTAAGCTTGTAAAGGGAAGATGACAGGCAATCTGCTCTTCCGCAGCGCCGCTCCCCCTCCCTCCGGCTGACATTATGAATGTAAGCGTAGAGTAATCATAAATAACACGGCAGGGTCCGTTACAGTTTGTTTTCATCTGATTTCAATTAAAAAAAAGTCTTGGCTTTCAGAATATTAAACTTGTTTCGGCAAATTCAGATGATAAATACAACTTTGAAGCTTGTAACGGCATAATTACAAGCGGAGAACGGAGTAATTTAACGTCACAGCAGGCATAACAACAGCCGGTGTTTCTCGTGAGGGTTTCCCCCCGGGAAACAAACGCAATACACACAAACGCAAAATTACACAAACACACACACACGTATACACACACACACACACACTCGCGAGCTTCTCCCAGACCAGCAATCCAAACGAAAATATCTTCCCCTCCGTAGTATTTTTGATCATTTGCTCCGCTAATAATCAATAAGATCGATGGATTCCAGAGAAGAGAAAACTTTAGTAAGGCCTTTTTCTTCAAAATAGATGA